TTAATATTAGGTACTTCTACCGTACCTCCTGAGAGGTTGCAATGTACATCTGGATCAATACATTTTTCTCTGGCATGTATAAGCGAAACTTTAGAAGCCTTCCTGTTCGTCATCTGGATCTTCCTCATGTGGTTCGTGTAGTGATTCCACTGGCGTCAGTTGGTATAAATCGACTAAATATTACTGTTAGTCGCACGATGCGGGGAACGTCGATACGTTTCATTGACAACGAACTAGGCTCTTTCTGAGTTGTGGAGTACTTTTTCATTTTTGGTACTACGAACTTATATTGTTCGTATTGATAGTTTATTTCTCTTGAATCTTAACATGTACACACTTGCTTAATTGATCATGTTTGATCGTGTTCTCCCATATAAAGTAGTTGCAAGTTCACTTGCATGATTGTTGTTCCGTTCGGATATGTGCACATCTTTAATTCATCTATATACATTCTCATATTCTTGAGGCATGTATTTGTGTGGCACAAAGTTCACTTCCGTATGCCTCACCTACCTGATGCTAATTTTATTATTAGGTACCTCTACCGTACCTCATGAGAGATTGCAATGTACATCTGGATCAATACATCATTCTTTGGCATGTATACGAGAAATTTTCGAAACCTAACTGTTCATGATCTGAATCTTCCTCATGTGGTTCGAGTAGGGATTCCACTGGCGTCAGTTGGTATAAATTGACTAATTATTCCTGTCAGTCACACGATGCGGGGAACGTCGATACGTTTCATTGACAACGAACTAGGCTCTTTCTAAGTTGTGGAGTACATTTTTCTTCTTTTATTTTTGGTACTGCGAACATATCTTGTTCGTATTGATAGTTTATTTCTCTTGAATCTTAACATGTACGCACCTGCATAATTGATCATGTTTGATCGTGTTCTCCCATATAAAGTAGTTGCAAGTTCACTTGCGTGATTGTTGTTCCGTTCGGATATGGGCCCATCTTTAACTCATCTATATACATTCTCATATTCTTGAGGCATGTATTTGTGTGGCACAAAGTTCACTTCCGTATGCCTCGCCTACCTGATGCCAATTTTATTATTAGGTACATCTACCGTACCTCATGAGAGATTGCAATGTACATCTGGATCAATACATCATTCTCTGGCATGTATGCGAGATTTTCTCTCGCTCGAAACCTTCCTGTTCATGATCTGAATCTTCCTCATGTGGTTCGAGTAGGGATCCCATTGGCGTTAGTTGGTATAAATCGACTAAATATTCCTGTTAGTCGCACGATACGAGGAGCGTCAATATGTTTCATTGACAACGAACTAGGCTCTTTCTGAGTTGTGGAGTACTTTTTTCACTTTTGGTACTACGAAGATATCTTGTTCGCATTGATAGTTTATTTCTCTTGTATCTTAACATGTACGCACTTGCTTAATTGATCATGTTTGATCGTGTTCTCCCATATAAAGTAGTTGCAAGTTCACTTGCGTGATTGTTGTTCCGTTCGGATAGCATGTATGCGAGATTTTCTCTCTCTCAAAACCTTCCTGTTTATCATCTGGATCTTCCTCATGTGGTTCGAGTAGTGATCTCATTGGCGTCAGTTAATATAAATGGTCTAACTATTTTTGTAAGTCACACGATGCGGGGAACGGCGATACGTTACATTGACAACGAAGGAACCTCCGACTTATCTCACCTTGTAGTATGCTCCGCCTCTACTCCAGAGGGATAAGGACCACGGGCCCCGTTGTGGAGCCCTCGCTGCGAAGCGTACCAAACGAGAGAACAGGCCAAGACAAACCCCGATGAGCGTCGTCGAGAACTCGTGTCATAAACAATTATTGGTGGTAGGTTTCTAATTATCACCCCGTAAGGGGCAAGTTTTTCCCTGTACTGAAACACCAATTTTCAAAATTACAGTATCAAAGGCGTCACTTTCCACCACTTCACACAGGCTCACTAGCGAATAGTTGGGGGCCTGTGACATCCGAGTACTAAAAAATGCAAATACCAAACGCCAAAATCAGAACCCCAAGCCAAGGATTCCCAAATCCCAAGTTTATGATTTAGGTCGTCAGAAATATGGCGGGAACGCCTGGTCTCACCAGGTTCTCTCGTACAAGAAACACTCAAGTCAAAACTCAGTTTAGTGAATCAGAAAAATACAAATCACAACTAAAGACTCGATGCGTTTCTCTCAGGTATGGACCTTTCCTATATGTGATAAACGTACTTTAGAGAAGTCTATTGTTTCCAATGGTCGAGGTACTCTCATACTCGCAATTGGGTTTAAAAGCTCACAATACCAAACTTCTAAAGTACAAAATACAGACACTACTTTCCATCGCTACAGCACCACTTCAGCGGGATTGCCGACTTGGGTATTTAATGTTTTGAATGGCCATGTACGTAAACTCTTCATTGATACAGGTACACAAGCAACGTTGTGGGGCGATGTCAAACTCTGAACAAACTGGCTACGAGAACGTACTATTAGCGTAAATAATCGCGTACGGTCTCATCACAAATTTTCTTGCAACAGGACACCCCAATCACCCCCATGGGCTTGATTTAACTGCCTAGTGGAATTTAAATTCCACGGTTCCACCGCAAGTACCCCTGAACACCCTGCCTCAGACTGCTACGTATTCAAATCTAGCTACTCAGTGTCAGATGAACACAAGATTCTTTTCTTCCAGACCGCAATGTCCAGTGGTCCCCTGATGGTGAATATAGCTTCCGCTCTGACTCGCCGTCCTCCTATATTTTCAATCTCTGCCAACCGGATATCCCTTGGCAGCCCTAAAAAACCTCCGATTCGTTGTGTTGGTACTACCCCACCACAAATTGGCATTCACTAACCCTTATAACAATGTGACATCTCAGGTGAACCCTCTCTGGCAATGTTTCTTGACGTCAAGCAGCCTGATATCCTCCCATAATCTGTTCATATCCAACAGGTGCAAATCTGGCCTGAATAATACTTGCAGATACCTTTGAATTTGACATTTCCTTTCCAGATCCTATCGATCACAACAACGTATTATCTACTCCGCTAAACGCTGGAAACTCACGTGTGTCTCTTACTTCCTCAACTCTGTCTCCCAGACGTAGCTCCTATGATGACTTTGCAGTAGATTAGGTAAATGACTGATCCAACCAGCCCTAGCTAGGTATTACAACTTTAATAGGTCACACATTCCGATGATACCTCCTCCCCCCCCCGCTCCCCACACCAAGTCACTCTGATCCATATCCCACCTATATACCTCTCCCTAAGGCTTTCATTGCCGACAAGCTAAGCTACTCCCCCTAGTAGCCACTCCTTGAAACACTGTTCCCGCTCACTCCTACATATTCTGCACTTGAACTCAGATTCAGCGATCTCGACTCTTGCTCACCACTCCGCCCGTTTCAGCAAAATACAGACTATACAACCAACTCTTTGAGATCTTGGTGCAATCTACGATCCACTCGTACACAAGCCCACTACTTCAGCACGCAATTGTGCGAACCAATCCCAGTGGGATATAGCTACTACACAATGTGAGGACCATATCAGAAACGAGCTAGCTAACACCATTCCCTTTGCTGATCCCATCTACCTCTAAAATCATACACAGGAAGTATATGATTGTACTGATACATTATGAGTATGGTCGTCCATTCCGTTATATGAAACAGTTATACCAAGACATTTCCCCCTGATGCAAAGGCCCTCGGTACTTCGTGCACTCGTAATCAACCACCTCGTTCGGCGCTACGCTACCCCAAGCCCAATATGACGCTTAACTTTGTGTACTTCTCTACCTGGCTGGCACCACCGATTTTTGCTCTCATTTTTCATCCACGTACAGCTACCTATTCCATTAACTCCACTCTACTATCCTATAGAGATTCCGACTAGGCCCCATGCCTCAATACTGGACTATCATAAACCGGCACATTGATATGTTCCAATCACAGACCGATCTATACCAGAAACATCGCATAGATACACACATTCTTATGATCTCTTAGCC